CTGTGCTAGTCATCAACTCTGATGACTATCAGTGTTTATAGAGAAGACATTTCGGCTGTGAGGGTGTAGACTATAGAAGGTAGAAGGTTCTGATGGAGAATGGGGACTGATATCAATCCCATCTACAGCGGCAATGTTTGCTTGATGAGAACATCTCAACCTTCTCATGTAACCAGATCCTTGTCACTGCAAGATCCTTGTTTAATAGTGAAACCTTGGTCCTACCTGCTTTCCAATTAAACCAAACCATGAAACTTTCTCTAAGCCAGAAATGTTTTGGTTCAACCAAAATCTATAGCCAATAGAGCTAGGGGGCAACCTAAATGAAGTTTTTAAGAAATTATGGAATAAAGGAAGATAAAGAAGAAAAAATGAATGGCCCCCCCTAGTCTTTAATTCTACAAACTACAGTGGTTTCTTTCCTAACAACACTATCAGCCAAGCCTGTAAGAAACTAAGCATACAAACAAGATGCATCAAAAGTGCTCAAGGCTCTTGACTTTAACGCAGAGTTTAGAGGCCACATCACCTACGCTTTATATAAAGGCATGATATCTATTTTACACCTACAGATGCTTGAGATAGCTCTGTTACACACCACTTACAAAGGAAATCAGCTACTTATTTTATTTCCAGGCAAGGAAGATGACAACATTATAATGAGCCAATCAGTTCAGATTTGTCCTTCTCAAACTTGCTGGACCCATTTCTGGGCTAATGGGTCCCCATGAAAAACCAACCTGATTGACTCAAAATGGATTTCCTTTTAATCTATGCCAGCATATAGAAAATGAAAATCCATGCCTTGGGAGCACAACACATTTACACTGCCAGGTCTTGTGCAGCTGCAATGAGAAAGGATGGGGCAGATGTGCAAGACAGCACACCTACAGCCTGGTAGCCTAGAAGCTGGGGACAGATGGCGTGAAAGTGAACCAGACACTGACAAATTCAACTTTATAACCAGAAAGACTGTAAACATACAGCAAGTGAGCACGAGATTTATGCTGAAATTAGAGAGGAATTCCTATGGATGATTACACTTCTAGCCCAAGCATGGAGAGCAAATCCATCACTATGAACGTCACCACATTAACAGTGCTGCTGTCAGGCCTCCCTGATACTGAACCTGGTAAATACAGAAAAGGGCTATGGACAGATTGATTCAATGTGACGTAGCACTGCTCACCAAAGTAGTCATCAGAGGGAGGATTCTCCATGTCATACAGCATTTTCTTGGTCAGATGTTCCAGCTCATCCTCAGGCCTGAAGGCAGGAGTGCTTGATGTGGGGCCAGAGCTTGGATACACACTCTGGAAAAAAAAAAAAAAAGGACAGTCTGTGATGTGGTATAAAAGCATTTGCCCACAGTAAGAGGGTCTATTGGCTGTTCAGTGTGGAACTTCATTCTTTTTCTATCTTTGCTTTTTTAAAAACCCAAGAGATTCACACAAGTAAACATCTCATTTAATGTAAGGAAAATGGACTGCTAAAACCATCCAGTGAAGTGCTATGTATCCTCTTAGAATGGGAAGTATTCTGTGCCTCATAATTAGGTGTCTACTGTGTAGCACATAATAATAAATAAAGGGGAAAATTATTCCAAGGATAACTTGATACAAACATTTTCCAACACCGAAAAAGACTTTGGAAGCATTTCAGTTTGGATTTGGCAAAAGCTTCCATCACTTAACAACGCAATATAAAAGATGCTAGAACAATCATTCCTGCAGTGGTGGAGTATATGGACAAAGACAGATAATCCCGAGCTGCTAGTTATGTTCTCTTCTTGTTTGTTTTGACACAAATTCTGCCGTTAACATTAGTGAGAGCAGGAGCTGGTCCACAGATTTTTAGTACTGGGGATATAAAGGTTTTAATATGTGCTTAGGAACTGAGACCTCTTGGCCTTCATACGCTAACAGCTGGCATACGGTATTTGCAGACTTGTCTCAGTGAGTTTTCTGCCTGGAAAACAGCAGAAGTACAGGCGTATTTTGAGAAGCACAGCAACAGTCTCATGCCTAGAAGTTTTTCAGAAGCAGCTAAGTTTGGTGCCCATAATGAGAAACTGGATCCTTTCAGGATTAAAAAATGTTGACGCTCGCTTTCATTGCGTGCAGCACTCCATACCTACTGAGATGGGAAGAAAATGTAAAATCACCGGAGAAACAATACACTGGCCACCTCTATCTGGTTTAGAGAGACTACATCTGCCACGATGAACCTTTATTGAGCCAGTCATGTTCAACAGAGAACAGCAGCTTTAAAGCACTGTGAGAGAATTAACTAAATGGTTTCACGCTTTCTTCTTTCAGGCAAGAAGAAGATTTCAAATGAGACATCAATCAATGCAGAGAAGGTCTCAGAACAGCGCTTAGCAATAATACTTCAATCATTCACTCCCAGAAAACAAACACTTGCATGTTCCTGACCCTATCATATGTATTTTTCTAGGGCCCACGGTAAGCTGTACATCACCCCCCTCGCTTGCTGCCCTGATTTGTCTCCCAGGCACTGCACCCATGAGCGCAGCAGCGAGGGGTAACGGGTATAAGCTGAAAGAGGGCAGATTTAGACTAGATATTAGGAAGAAAATTTTCACTGTGAGGGTGGTTAGACACTGGAACAAGTTGCCTGGAGAAGCTGTGGATGCCCCATCCCTGGAGGGGTTCAAGGCCAGGCTGGATGAGGCTTTGGGCAACCTGGGCTGGTGGGAGGTGTCCCTGCCCATGGCAGGGGGTTGGAACGAGATGATCTCTAAGGTCCCTTCCAGCCCAAACCATTCTGTGATTCTACGACTGCCCTCCCTGGCAGGGCTGGATTTGCCATGTACACACCACGCAGCAGTTGCTCCCATTGCCTGCCCGCGGAGTGCCCTCTAACAGATAGCAGCAGTGCGCAAGGAAGACGGTGGCACGGTCCCCTGGAAGAAAGGGCACCTGGAATAAGCCCCAGGCGGGATGAATTTCCCTGGAGGGGTGTGCAATGTCTATTTGCCGTACGTTCAACCTCCCTGACTGAGAATAGAGATTGTATCTACCATATATTCAGGTTTTCCCAGAGATGTTTTCCTTTTCTGCTCAGGGATTTTTTTCTGAGCAATATTCAAGGATTTTGTGCATTTGTCCAAGATTTCTAGATGCCTAGCAGTTGTTCTGAGGAAGCCGTTGAACATCTGGAAATCCCGAACACAGGTCAGGAAACTCTATTCTACAAATGCAACCACGCGGATGTGTTTGGGTTCCCACAACTTATTCTTTTATATGGGGAGACAGGTCTGTATAGTGCACAGGACCTGCACGTGCTTTCTAAGTCACACAAGTGCCACCTCTGTGGGATATATCATTCTGGTGGGGATAAGGCCACTCACGTGACAGGGAGCTTTACAGACAGGTACTTGACCCAGCACACCCAGACGCCCTTGGCCAATACTTTGTGGCTGTTTTTAGAAGGCTAGTTGACAACTATTTCATTAGAAATAATAAATAGTATAACCCCCCAAAAAAAAAAGTTTTATTAATAAGCCAATTAAAGGTGCCAAATGTAAAGCATTTAATCTTGGAACAACCTATTTTTTCCTTTGCTCTTGTTCCTAAGAGCTGATCGTGAATCTCGCCTGAACATATATTTTAACACACCAAGTGCAGCCAAGGATTTATTAGCTTGAGAAATCAATCTGGCAACTGAGCCTCTTAAAACATTATTCCATCTATTGTACCTATTTCAGTTTCCATGCAGAAAGGAATGATCATTGCCACCCCAGCAACTGAGACTCCTTCCCTAGACCTTCCACAGAGAAAAAAGTACAGCCCGAAGCTGATGATGGCCTTCATCCCTACGTTTCCCCCATTAGCAATCACCAGTGTGGCATAAATGGGTGGAAGGACCATGCTCCAGCCTCCTCTGCTGGGCTCTGTCCACACATAATCTCAAACACTGCTTTACAACTTGGGCCAAAAGAGAAGGTGGCAAACCTCCACCGGCCACTCTCCGACCCAAAGCCACAGCATCTGCAGGCTACACCAGCCGGGTTTCGGCAGGACAACCCATGCAGGCGGTGTGTGAAGCCTCTCCCTCTCCACCACGCTGGCTTCTCACCCCTCTGGACTGGGGGCCCCACTTGTGCCCGTTTCGGGAAGGGCTTGGGCTGTGCCATTTAAAATGAAAGACCAAAATCTGCAGAGTTCCAGTTCTGTCTGAATTCCTCTGTTTTTTGAGGCTACGTTGCCTCTTACACACAATAAATAAGCTGCTCTCCTATTTTATCTACATTGCACTTTTCCAAACCAGGCAGATTTCTCATCCAGTACCCAATGTCAGCAAAAACAACAAATACCAACCACAACATTATGAGATGCTTGAACTTATTTCGACTAAAACGCTATGCCTTTTTGACCAATATTTAAGCAGTGCTAGGCACATCTTTCTCCTCCTCGCGTGGCACATGCTGACTATGTGCCTCCAAGAAAATACATTTCATGCATATGAACATGCTGTTGAGTTTGCTGGGACATGCACGCACACAAACGTAGAGAGAAAAGTGTATCTTTAGTCCCATCTAAAATGCTTGTTTCAGCAAAACAGTTTCCTTCCTCCTCCTTTGTTAGGTCAGGATAAAAATATAATTCTGGCTTTCCTTACAAAACAGTCGTGTTGTTGTTTATTAAACTTCCTCTATTTTCTCCTGATCTGTACAATGATCAAGGCTGTCTAGAAATCCAATTTGCTGTCTAATCTCCCACGGTTATCTTCATGCATTCTCTTCTCTCCACGATGCCTCAATGCACACAAATACACTCTTCCTGAGCGACACACAGCTCAAAGGTGGGGTCTGTGCTGAATTCCACAGACCTCCCAAATTCCCTGAGCACCACTCTTGCCTGGCTAACCACAGCAACATCAGGGATGATAAACTGACAGATGAAAATGGAAAAGAGCCTTGGTCAGCAAAAAGCCAGCAGGAGGGACCATGCTTTGGGAGCAAGAGCACCCGACTCCAACCTTTGCTTCTCCCATCAAATACTGAGGAACCTCAGGAAAGAACACGATGAAGGCAGTTGCATGTGCAGTTGCAATTGCGTTAATGAATAAACACTGTCTTGCATGCTCAGTTAATAGGATGTGTAGGAAAACTCCAGCATTCCCAGGGTTAAACCCCATGGCAGAAGATATCTTCATGCTACAAATCAAAAGGAAATGAGTTAATCGCTTGTGCTGCTCTGAAAGCACTGCAACAACATCTGGCTCATCTTCCTCATTAAAGTTCAGTTCCTAAAAAGTCAGGTCAAAAGAAGCAGTCGCATGGAATCACTGCATGATTATTTTGGTTCACGAAGTTGAGATTTGTTTCAGTGCTTCTCTGGTGCATGTTTTCTACTCCAGAGCTCGCTGGTGATCAGCTGTCTCTGATGGAACGGCTCTGCAGTTAGTGCGGTGCATTCACCAACGGGAACCTTCCCCATCCACATACAAATTTTTACCCAAATGGGTAAAAACCACAGCGCAAAATCTGCAAAGCTATCCGAAGATGATGCTGTGATGAATGCACCATCATTCAGAGTGAACTGTATGTGGTCATTTTTCTTGTCCATTTGCAAATGTTGTAGAAGAAACTACTTCTCTCCGAGAGAAAATAACTTCAATTATGTGTTCCCAATTACAGAAACGTGGAAACTATCTTCTTTTCAGAAGGTAGAATTAGCCCAATTTGGAATTGAAAGGGAGCCAGAAACATCTTTCACTGATACTTACTTTCCCTTTCATTTTTTTCTTCTCATTCATCTGCATAAAGTTAGCGCTTCCCTTTCACTTCACTCACCAGAACTGATCATCAGTTCAATAAACAGTTAAATAGCATCGCAGCACATTTTTTATTCAATGGCCTGACAAAGACCATACTTTTTCATTTAAGTTATTGACTGTCCAAAACAATCGCAAACTTTCAGACCAAAAAAGTCCTGCATGGTGCCACATCTTTCATGAGTCGAGCTCCCAAAGAAATATCAAGATTGCCTGCAGCTGTAATTCAGTTTATAATTAAGGCCAACTGATGTCTCCTACAGAGGAGATGCACTGGAAAAAAAATATTTTAATTCTTGATTTATTTTCCCAGTGAAAAGTTACAGCTGCCAGAGTACATACAGATTCCTGAAAAGACGATTCTGCCCGGATTCCCTGTGACACGCGCACTCCTGGGTTCACTCCTGGGCAGAGAATAATTCATTGAGATCCTTTGAACAAGCTGCCCTGCCCGAGGAGATACCCACTGACAGCCACTGATCTCCCACCCACACCAGCAGCCCGAAATCAC